CATGTGATGGTTGGCGTGGATATGGTCCTTTTTTTTTGAGAAAACAGGACCCTTTATTAATGTCAAAGTTCATGGGGGTACAGATTACATCGGGCAAGGATAACAGCCACACGTGGCGCCCAAGAGAAGCGTGCATAGTTTTAAAAACCGGACCGGACCGGAAAAAACCGGACCGGCAGCCTCATTGGTTTTTTAAGCTAATAAAACCGTTCTACAATCAGACCGAAGAAAACCGGTCAAACCGGCCGGTTTTTTGGAAAACCAGGTCATTGAACCGGAAAAACCAGAAAAAATGTTTTGATAGAAATTGGGATTCGATCCAAGGTCGTGTAAGCAGTACGTGTGGCCTGTACATGGCCCAATAACCAAGTTGGTTGTGCTATTTTGTTGTTCACTACATGGATATAATTTTACTTGACCATTATTTCACACTATATTAGAACATATATTATTTTATTTCTTAAAAAACTAACAATCGAACCGGTGAACCGGCGGTCTGACTCGTTTTGAGTGGTGCTGTAGCCTAAATAGGAGAGACCATAAAAACCAAGACAATATGGAGCTTCTCCGTGAAATGAAATGAATAGCCATAGGGGAACCAACAACTCACATTTCTTCCATACTTTACATATCATTAGAAATGCATAGTTTTATAGATAGAACAAACAAATGAATGAATAAACTGCATGCTGGCAACATGAAATGAAATAATCCTCCCTCCTCTTCTTTACATACACACGCACACACACACACACACACAAAAAAAGTGACAAAACTAATGACAATCCTCTTAATTAGCTTAGCAGCTTGTTGATTTAGCTTGTGCTTCTTCATTCCTCAACTGCACCTCTCCCTACGACCTGACATGTGCTGGCTCGCCACGAATTCTTATGATGCAAAGGGCTGCGCCTGCAACTGTAATATTCGATTCAAACACACCCGGCCCGGCCCGGCCAGGCCCCACGCAGGGGATCATAACAATAATGGAATTCTTATGAAAGCCAGTAGTACTGTATCAAAGAGGAGCTGCATATCCTCCTTTTGCAAAATAATGTTGTACTTATTAAAGACAAGAGCTAATATAATAGTTAACAAACCTTGGTTTCTGCAGGTTCCTCGTGCAAAAATGACCAAGGTCCTGATTTCCATAGCAACCTGACATTTGTCCAGCAGTTTGCAGTGAGATGTCATGAGAGCATCACATCAATGGGTTTTTTTTTTTTTGCAGGGAAGTACCGATCATATTCAAGAAAATGAAGTGAAGAATTTTTCATATGGCAGTAATTTCTCTTATCAGGCAGCATGGTGAAACAATGAAATACTTCACATGCTATCTGACGGATCCTGGCCGAAGGAAGATGCAAGGCGCTCTGAAATAAGCCCTTGATTCAAGACGCCATACAAACACTTTCACACAAATCAAGTCGCGATGACAGGTGGAGGCTCTAACGCAGTTACTCCCTCCATTCCTAAATATAAGTCTTTTTATAGATTCCACTACAAACTACATACGGATGTATACAGACATTTTGCTCCGTATGTAGTCCGTAGTGTAATCTCTTAAAAGACTTATATTCAGGAACGGAGGCAGTAGTTAAAAAACATATGCTAGCCCTTTGGGGGAATTGTCTATTTTCTACTAATTCTGGTATAGTTGAGTTAGAATCTGGCACTATTTCTGTAGCAACGTGTTGGCACCACTATACCATTACATATTAGTACTTCACGAGAAGAAAAATATAGCAATCATATTGTTATTAAGTGCAAAGTACAACAATTTCTGCCCAGAAAAGACCACCCGCCCTGAAAGCCAAAGGCTAATATCCTAGTCTACAACAACTATAATTACCAATGTCATTGTTACATACTAACAGAAACACAAACAAATAAGAGAAAGCAGTTGCATGATGGCTACAGGAAAAGTAAACATATTGCTGCATGTAACGGCTTTGCACAGGTGTGATGTGACTAATGTAACGGAACAAGAAACAAGAAGCATAATTGATCACCTCAGGATGCCTGCAGCCATGCGCAATCCCATGAGTGTTGTCAAACCAGCCCAAACTCCGGCCAGGCCAAAGACACGTGGAGCATATAACAAGACCAACGATGATATCACCCCAACCACAATCTGTGGAATCCAGACAAAATCAAGAAATCCATGACCAATAGGAAGAAAGAACATCTATATATGAAGCTGGTCGCCGTCGGAGCTGGTTCCCATACCGTAGCTTGAGCGACATAGTCAAAATCGGAGACGCCATAATGGAGGCCATCAAAGATGAATGCCAAGGCATTAACTGGTTGACTGGCACAGACAAACTGAAACGAAAGTTTTTTTTTTCAGAATAAGGCTAGATATGGTGTGCCGTTTACGTAACAATTAAGTAGCAAAGTAGGAAAGGCATACCAATGCACAGGAGCTCACAACCGCTAGGACCTGAGGGTCATTGGTAAATAGCTTTGCTATACTGCCAAATGAGATATACAGGCCAACTGCCAAAGCTAACCCGCTAGCTAGTCCTATCTGCAATGGACAATAATTTAATTGGTGTTCTCTATCAACACAAGAGACAGCAATTGCATCCCCAAGAATATAAATGGGGCATGCAAATAAATTGAACTTCACAATGCAGAGGAGAAGTATGTATCACCTGCAGAGCAAACATCGCAACCTTCTGGACCCTTTTGTAGTCCAGTATTGCGTAAGAGCTTGCAATCAGAGCCTAAGAAATGCAAGCAAAGTTAGCCTGCGCTTATGCACTTACGGATATTTGTATTTAATAGTTCAAATTATGATGATGCATTTAGTAGGGATGATTTCTGTACAAATTCTGATACAGAAGGACAGCTGCAAAAGGAAGCCGATCTAACAGTAGGGATGATTTCTGTAACTGAAAATACATACCTGGGCAGAAACTGCTAAGGCGTCTGCAAGCAGAGATACAGCAAGCCATACTTGCAAACAAATCTGATGAGCAGCCATAGCTGTTGGGCCTTGTCGAGCAGCCATTGATGTACCGATGGTCATTGTTAACAGAATTGAGAGGGTTCGTCCCAATAGCATGCCACCTTAGCATTTCAAGAAAACAGACATATATTGTAAAATTAAGGCTGCAGGTGAACAGAGAAAGAAAAAAAAAAGAAAACAGAGAAAAATAGCACAGGCACATCAGTGCAAGCAAAGATGGCATGCAATCTCCAAATAATATCGGCGTAACAAGGACAAAAAGATCTATGATTGCCCATTGCCCAGCGGTCAGATAATGTATCATGAGAAGATACAGTACGAGAGCTTTATCAATAACAAGTTGGCCTTCTTATCTGACAAACATACCGGATCAGTGGCTATATCTTCTTTCTTTTGAATTGTCAGGAGTACTGTGTGCTGTCATTAGCTACTTAATGAGTAGAATGATTTCTGTTATTGCCTGCTCAAGTACATATCATATGTTGGGGCATGGGATGGCCTTTAAGTATCCAAAAATAATTAAGTGTTTTTGAAGTGCTCAAGTGTACATTCCAACATGAATGCACTTTGACTAGAGCTGGGCCCAACTAAATGAAAAATGAAGCCATAAACAGAAATTTCGGGAGGACAAACTTCTACTTCTATAGAAGGACCAAAATAGCCTGCAGGTTTTGCCTAAGAAAAACTCGGAATTCACTAGAAAAAAAAAAATCAGATTGCTGTAAACTGCACTCTGAATGTACAACATCCGTACTCTGAAGGCCAACAGAAACATATCTGAAGAACTTTTACAGTAGCCTACACCATGAGTCCACAACTGACCAATGAACAAGTAGGATCATAGACTCACCAGATTTTAAATATCCACCGAACTCTAACTGGTCCATCTTTGGAGGAAGCAGAACAGCTCTTTTACTTAGAGACCACATAAGCAAAATGGCAATAATGTACCTACATTGTAAACCATATAACAGGTGAGATTTCCAACAGCTCTAACTGGTCCATCCTATTTTTGTTCCAATTAAAACTACAAAAAAAGGTGAGGCACCCAACAGCCCAGTATTGTGAGTACTGCACTTCATGTTTTGATGGTAAATATGACATGTGTAATCATATAACTAATAAACTGCATGCCACAATATCAGTAGGTCTGCTAACAGCCAATAATCTCATAGTACTGCATATGTTTGCCGCAATTTAAACGTATCGAGATAATGAGAAAAAAAAAAGGTAAGTTGCAAGTTTAACAGCAAGAGTTATTTCCTTTGATTATTTCAGCAACATATAGGAAGCAAACTGGGAGAGACATTTGCTGGTATATGTCGAATTGACTTCCATAATTCTCTTTGAACTCAGATTACACCCAGCTAATAGAAATCTTACTGGGATGCGACTGTAGAAATTGCGGCTCCTGTTATACCAAGCTTAAAACCATATATAAGTAGCGGAAGAAGAACCACAGCTGAAAGATTCCCCAAACCTACAGGTGTTTTAAATAATCAGTAAGTCTGCAAGAAAGGAGACTTTTTTTTTACATCAGATAACTGTATGGAACGCTTCCAATTCAAACGAGACTTGGTTACAAACAGCATCAATGTGCAAATGCGTGAATGATAAACTATTCATGGGCTTTGGCATTGGAAAGTGGAACATAAACACAAAAAAGGCAGTACTGGTGTGTTACTGCAAAATATTTGACAGGAATATAAGAGGAAAATATCATCAACTTAGGGGGGCACCACCATTATGTGCATCAAGAGGTAGCTTTTGCACTCACAACTGGTGAGAACACAATGGCAATAATAAGCAAACGATGAGGTAGTTATTACCTATAAAAAGTACGGGAGTCTTGGTATCCTTGAATCCACGAAAGATACCCTGCACTGCTAACATAATCACATTTGCAGGTGCTCCTAAGGCTCTCAGCGAAAGAAAGAGCCGTGCAGATGTATACATCGGAGAGACCTGTGTACGAAGTAAACTTAGCCTTTCTGCTGACAGGCACAAGTGGAGAAAATTCACTGATCTGAATCCAGTTAAGGATCCTAATAATGCGCAAAAAAAAAGAGGGGAAGGAGAAGACAGTACTCCATAAAAAGAAAAACTCAAAGATGATAACAGGCAGTCATCATCATGATATAAACATACATACAGGTGAGACGCCCATTAGTTTAAGAAACAATCCTGATCCTAGGAACAATGCCAATGCTTCGATTGTACCAATAGCAGCAGCTAAAACCAAAGCCGACGACACGGATGGCAGCTCCAGTTTGCCTGCAACGGACGCAGAGAGTTTATTTAGGAGGTTCCATTGTCTGAAGAAGCAGGGCTGCACAGAAGCTTAAATATGTATTCATCAATCAGATGATCTTCCTGTTACCTGAAGTAGAATGCTTGCTAGCATTCTTGGAAATATCCTCGGCCACAAATGAGGTTGCTATGCTCAACAAGGGGATGTTGAAAATCTTGGATAGGATGTTGAAAATAGCGACACCAATACCAGCAGACGCTAGCTCCAGAGCCCCTTGAGAAGAGAATGCCAAGATTGAGACAGAGAATAACTAACAACTTGCTTTTTTTTTCATGCAGCAGGGATATCTGCAAGACACATTAACAATGTAGGCAGTAACATTCCTATGGCTTCCCTTCCCATATGAGCTAATACCAATCTGAATGTTGTAGTGTGTGTTTCACTCTAGTATAACAGCCTTATGGTGATAGATAGATAGATAAATAAAGGTTTTAGCACTTTACTGTTAAACTGACATGATCGATATTGTGATGCCGAAATGTAAATTCCATGTTATGTTGTTCAAGAAACTAAGCAAGCAGAGCAGGGTAATCTCCATATGTTAATCTGCTATGGCATTGCCAGCACATAGACAAGTTGAAGCAATTGAGTACAAGGCACACATAGCAGAGCATGGTGCTCACGACGACATACTAGTACACAAGCGTAATGTTGGAACGTGAGTAACAGTGATGATGGAGTGAGTATATAGCGGTCTGGTCCACAGTATTTAAATCAGAAGTGAACACAAGACCCACTCTCCAACGAGAAGAGTTAGTGATAAATACAGGACGGGATGGGAGATGAACAAGCTTAAGAAATGAGGTCTGCAAGTAAAGTATATATATATAGCAGCAGAGCAGAGCAGAGCAGAAAGGAAAGGAAAGGAAAGGAGGTGCGTGCGTACCGACCTAATTTGCCGATATACGCGGTCTCCATGAGTTGCGCCATGGGGTCGATGGCCTGGCCTAAGACTGCGGGCAGGGCTAGAAGAATGAGGTCGATGCCGACAGTCCCAGGATAAAGGCCGCTGCCGCTGCGTATTTGTTGTTGGATTGTTATTGTTATTGTTATGTTACAAAAGGCAGAAACATACATTGTTATGTTGCAAAAAGAAAGAAAATGTAAAGACTAATAATAATGTAATGTAGGGAAGGAAGGAAGTCAGGAAGGAAACTGGAGAGTGGGCTGCAACAAACAATAATGTAGAGTAGATGATGATGATGATGATATTCAGTTAGTTCCTTTGAGCATATATAATATAGTATAATAATTAATGAATGAATGAGTTAAGCATCCATGCATGTTGCAAGATAAATAAAATTGGGTCCCTCCTACTACTACTAGTACTAGTAGAGTAGTAAGTAGTAAGTATGTTATTAGAAAGTAGTCCCTCCTACTACTAAGTGTGTAGTCTAGTAAGAATAAGAAGAAGTGGGAAGAATGTGAAGATGGAAACAGAGTACTACTTAACTCCTAACTCCTAAGTGTGTGTGTAGCAGTGAAAGCCAAAGAGTAGTAATACTAGGGAAGGGAAGGGAAGGGAAGGGAAGGGGAAAGTGGGATGGGGAATTAGTGAATGAATCTTACAGCAGCAAGAGGAGAGCATTGTCCTCCTCCTCCTCCTCCTTTTTGTTCTTGGAAAGAGCATCATTTGCATCGTGCGCGTGGAGGCTAGTGGGAAGGGTGCGCCGCCTTGTGAAATCCAAGAGCCCAGGAAGAGGAAGAGGAAGCAGGCGCTGGTTCTTGGCGATGGCGGGGATGGTAACTTTGAGCTTGGTGGCTCCCAGCCTGGATAGTGATAGGGATGGCCATGGGGAGGAGGAAGAAGAAGAAGGGGAGGCGGAGGCAGAAGCAGAAGCAGAAGCAGAAGCAGAAGCGGCGCGCGGTGCTCTCCTAGCCCTGCTGCTCAGAGACGACGGCAACCCAGAGGCAGAGGGGCATAGAAGCGCCCTCATCCCCATCCACTCAACCCCCTCTCTCTCTCTCTCTCTCTCTTTGTACAGTAGAGAGCGCCGGCTTGCCGGCGGTGGCGGGGGAGGAGGAACAAGAAGAAGAGAAACAGAGAGAGAGGGGATGGATAATGATGATGACGGCGACGAAACGCACCGCACCACACGTATATCTCATCTCTCTATCTCTCTCTCCCCAAAAATTCCTTCCCAATCAGAGAGTGACTGGGCTGGCCCAAGAATAAATGCCGCCGAGTGGTCCGGCCAAACATAGCCCAGTAACGAATTAATGATGCCATAACCACCCAGTCAGTGTAGGTAGTAGGATGGACCCACCTACATAAAAGCATTGTAGGATCTCAAAAAAAAAACATAAAAGCATTCTCAAACACAAACATAAAAAAGCATTAGGGTCTTCTAAAATAAGCATTAGGGCATCTCCAACCCAACCAGGTAGCCATCTCACTGCGTCACCATCTTGTACAATGTCATCTTCTCATGCACCATGGTGACTGCAGGCGGACCACCACCTCGGCTACAAGCGGTAACATTGCACAAGTGTGTGAAAGAAGGGGGACTACTAAGGTGACGCACCAATGGTCGCCCATGAGGGCATGTACAATGGTTGATAAAACAGTCTTATCTTAAGTCTTGCATGTAATTTAGAGATGACAAAAAAGTATGTCTACAACGGGCTATATCTTAACCTTATCTTCAATAGCTAGTCATTCCTTAAAACATGGTGAGACAAATTGTGCTAAGAGATCATCTCTTGTCTTATCTTAAATAAGAGAAGACAAACCTTTTTTTGTGAGTTCTCTCTCCTCCACCTCATCATTAATCCTACGTGGCACTCCTAAGATAACACCATTGTACATGCCCTGAGTGCGAGTAGGCGGACCAGTGAGCTTCAATGTTTTTTTTTAGCATCACCATTCACCAGTTTTTTTTTTTTTTGAGGAACATCACCATTCACCAGTGAGCTTCAATGTTGACGGCGGGCTCCGTGGAAAGGGTTTTGGGTGGGGCCACATTGTCAAAGTCCAGTGTGGTGTACTCGCAAAAACAAAAATCCAGTCTTTATCACCCAATATTTGGTACCAGCCTCGGGATTTTTTTTGCATGCTCACTCGTGTCTGACCCAACATGGGAGTTTAACCGGACTACGGCGGCGGAGGTGTCCGTGTTGGCGACGCCCTAATACTAGCACCTAAAATCGCAGTGATATGCATCGGTTGTAGCGATACGGACAAATCATCCAGTAGCGCTACTTTCTAAGCCGACCCATTAGGGTGAGGCAGCGGTTTGCTCGGACTAGATTTCGGTTGGTTTTAGGCTGGTCATAGTGACACTAGTCTAAGTTACTACTTTCATAGTGCAAAGTAACCTAGTTGTAGTGTCATAGAGGACTTCATTAATTAGCTTTTAGACTCATCTTGTTTTGGAAAGCGCTATGTTACAATAACATATTATGTTACACTTCTCATTAACTATACATGCCACATAAGCAAAAAAAATTTGGAGTGCGCTATGTTACTTGCTAAGTTACTCCCACTATGACTAGCCTTAGGAATGATCAGCACCTGCGGCTCCAGATTTGGATAGTTTCCAGGAGGTTTTTTCATCGCTTTTCTTCCTTTTTTTCCACTTTTCTATTCTTATTATTATTTTTCCTTTTGAAATTAGTGAAGAGTTTTCAAATTCGTGAATATCTTTCCAGTCTCAAGATAATTTTTTAATTTGTAAACATTTTTTTAATCATGATTATTTTTTCTAAACATTTTTTCGAATCACATAGTTTTTCAAGATTTGTAAACTTTTTTTAATTCAAGATTTTTTTCCATCTTTTGAACATTTTTAAAAATCATGAATATATTTTGAATTTATGATTTTTTTATTAATTTAAAATAGTTTCTCAATTTGTGAACACATTTTGAATGTTTAGAAAAGATTTTTTGAATTCCTGTACGTTTAAAAAAAATACTTTCTAAATGTGTGAACATTTTTTTTAATTCATTGACATTCTTTCAAACTCGATCATGAACATTTCGCAAATCGTGGTAGTGGTAGCGCGCGCATGCAGCTCGGCGAAGAAGAAGCGCCCTCTCCTCCATCACCGTCCAACTCTTGCCTCCATCATCAATCAGGACTCCTCGTGGTCGTGGGAGAGCTCAATCAAACTCGTAACGCCTCCCTCAGCCTCCGGTCCACTTCCACTCTGCGCCTCACCCTCAATGCTCGTCATGCTGCTCGGGTCCAGGACCTGGAGACACAAAGCACGTGCTTTTTCTTTGCAAACAAGCTAGACAAGTTTGGAGGAGGTTGTGGTTGGACCAAATAATTAAGACAACTTGCAAAATCGATCTATTACTTTTGCCAGCCCTGTTAGATAATAACGAGAATAAACGAGACAAAGAGACACGGATTTTTACGTGGAAACCCTTGCGGGAGAAAACCACGGACGCACGAAGGCGCAATCACTACGAGGAGGAGTATTACAAGCACGAGACGACTGACCGTCTGAAGTGCGACTACATGGGGTATATAAGAGGGCAATACATGAGAGTCCTTGAAGGACAAGTAAACGAGTTGTACTCGTACGCGTCGACGTCAACGCAAAGGCCCACACCGTTTGTACTACGTCTAGTCCAACACGCTACTAGAATTTAGATCATAATTTAACAATCTCCACCTTGATCCAAATTCCCTCCAGTAGTCGAAGAAAGTGAATAACTTCATCCAAATGAACATAAACACCTTGTGCGTCAAAGTCCATCGTACTAGTGAGAAATACCAACTAAGCCTGAGCAAAGCTCAAACTTATTGGTAGGAACTGGCTTTGTCATCATATCAGCAGGATTATCATGAGTACTTATCTTGCATACCTTCAAATCACCTTCAGCAACAACATCTCGAATATAGTGAAATCTAACATCAATGTGCTTTGTCCTCTCATGATACATTGGATTCTTTGTAAGATATATGACACTTTGACTATCAGAAAATACGGTAGGGCAAGATGAATCTCCACAAAGCTCAGTGTATAAACCTCTCAACCAGATAACTTCTTTGCAAGCCTCAGAAATAGCCATATACTCGGCATCAGTAGTGGAACATGCCACAATAGACTGCAAAGTTGCTCTCCAACTCACAGCACAATCACCGATGGTGAAAACATAACCTGTGAGCGATCTTCTCTTATCCAAATCACCAGCAAAATCAGAATCAACAAAACCAACAAGTCCATCTCTAGTTTTCCCAAACTGTAAATAAGCATTAGAAGTACCACGCAGGTATCTGAAAATCCACTGAACTGCTTTCCAATGCTCTTTTCCAGGATTAGCCATGTATCTACTGACAACACTCAATGCATATGATAAGTCAGGACGAGAACAAACCATGGCGTACATAAGTGAACCAACTGCACTTGAATAGGGAACTCTAGACATGTACTCAATATCTGAATCTGACTTAGGACATAAAGCCGATGACAATTTGAAGTGTGCAGCTAATGGTGTACTCACCGGCTTGGCATTATGCATATTAAAACGACGAAGAACTTTATCAATATATCCCTTCTGACTTAGATATAATTTTCCAGACGGTCTATCTCTGGATATTTCCATGCCAAGAATTTTCTTTGCTGCACCCAAATCCTTCATCTCAAATTCATTACTCAATTGCTTTTTTAGTTCATTAACCTCTGACATACTCTTTGCAGCAATAAGCATATCATCAACATAAAGGAGCAAATAAATAGTTGAACCATTGACAGCTTTTAAATAAACACAACTATCATAATTAGACCTTTTGAAACCTTGAGAGAGCATAAAGGTGTCAAATCTCTTGTACCACTGTCTAGGGGATTGCTTCAATCCATAAAGAGATTTCTTTAACTTGCAGACAAGCTTTTCTTTTCCAGGAATAACAAAACCTTCAGGTTGTTCCATATAAATATCTTCTTCTAATTCTCCATGTAAGAATGCAGTTTTAACATCCAATTGTTCAAGCTCAAGATCATGCATGGCAACAATACTGAGTAAAGTGTGAATAGAGCTATGCTTCACAACAGGAGAAAAGACTTCGTTATAGTCAATACTTGGAATCTGGCTATAACCTTTAGCAACTAACCTTGCTTTATATCTTATCTCATCATTAGGAGAAACACCTTCTTTCCTTTTGAAAACCCACTTGCAACGAATAGGTTTCTTCTCTCTAGGCAATTTTACTAAATCCCAAGTGTCATTCTTTTCAAGTGATTCCATCTCATCATGCATAGCAGTCATCCACTTATTACTATCACCAGAAATAATAGCCTTGGAATATGAAGAAGGCTCAGAATTACCTTCAATTTCCTCTGCAACAGATAAAGCAAAAGAAACAATATTGCACTCTTCAATTAACCTGTCAGGTTTATTAATACCCCGTCTAACTCTGTCACGTGCAAGATTCCAACTGGGTGGAACAATAGGCTGATTTGGAGTGGGAGTGACATGTTCATCATCAACGACGGGTTCATCATGTGCATCAAAAATTTCATTACCAGATGTATCACCTGAATCAATAACATGCTCCACCTGAACAGTAGACTCCTGAACAATAGGCTGTTGTTCACTCTCAACGGGAACATTAGTAGATGAAACATCATGTAACATAGCAGATTCATTAAAGATAACATTTCTGCTAATAACCACCTTCTGGGTTTCAG